CTGAGAGATAAGAAGGCCCAAGACCATTAAGACATTTAAAAACCAGTAAAAGAACTTTAAAACTTTAAAAAAAAATGAAGTATAATTAAATTAATCTGAGTTATGTTTGCACAGAAACAGCTTCAACCAGCTGCTTTTTTACTTTTAGGCATTTCAGAGACTTTTTGACTTGTACTCGAGTACTGCAGTAACATCTGTACTGTTTCCACCTGTGCCGACAGGAACAGAAACATAAGTGATCATTTCCTGCTGTTCTGTTATCAGCTCCTGGCACTTCATGCTTTAGCACTTGAATACAATTTTAACTCAAAACTAAAATCATCCTGGACAAAAGAAGAAAAAACCCTGACGTTAGATTTATTTCACAGTGTTTGTAAGTAAAGCAGACACGGAGGTCGCGTCTGCTGTGTGGAGCTGCCTCAGGTTCATCTGTATGGACTCTGCTCATCTGAGTGCAGATGGCAGAAGGTTGTTTTGACATTTTTTACAGGCACCTGCACAGTCAGCTACACTGTCCTTTAACGTTACAGCAGGAGAAACTCAGTAGATAAATCAGTCAGTGCTGCATAAAATATTAAAAACACGACTCATTGTCAGATCTTCTGCTGAAGGAGGAGAATTTAAGTCTTTGGATTATTGTGGCTCTAAAGTCACAGGAAAAACTGAAGAAACGAATTCTGTTTATTTGTTGTTCTGTTTCTGTGCCCCAGCTGATCAGCAGGAGGAGAAGAGTCTGACGGAGCAGCAGAGGAACGTTTTGGACTTGGCTCAGCCGCTACAGAGGAAACGATGAGCTCGGTGAGGAAAATGTCTCCGTTACAGAGTTTGTGCTTCATCAGCTGCTGCTGCTCTTATTATGGTCACAGCTGTTTATTCTGCTCTGCCAGCTTTGCTGCTGATCACAGGATGTGAACTTTAACCTTCACATGAAACAAATCTCTGCGAGTGCTTTTTTTTTTTTCCATCGGTGCCATCTCAGCAAACCTGTCACTGACCGATGAGTCTGTGTGTTGTTGTAATTTCTTATTATCTATTACTTTGAGAGGATTTTAAGTTGACCTCACTACATGTTGTCCTATATCTGAACACTATCAGCACCTGGTAACAAATGGGGAATAAAACATTTGTGTTAGTGGATCTAACATTGTCAGACTCTCATACGATGTGAGAACCTCATCAAAGTGTTTCTCAGAGGAAACGTGTGACGTTAGCTGGCTCGTTGTCCAGAGACGGGAATATCACACGACCGATCTTTTCCTGTGTGAGGGCCCTGACTTCAGCTCAGGACACGAGACTTTGGGTGAGTGAACAGTGGGAGGAGAACCAGATGATCCAAATGTAAATGTATAAATCATAATACAGTCTGAAAGAACTATTTGTGATCTTTAAATTGAAACTAGAGATGGCACGATACCACTTTTTTATGTCCAATACCAACATCATAAATTTGGATATCTGCCGATACCGATGTGAATCTGATGTAGTGCTGGGGCGGGGCCTGCGGTATCGTGCCTTGCCAACTTAAATATGGTGCTAGGTCCTGCAGCTCTGTGTATCCAGCAACCGTACTGAATAAAGAGATGCTTAAAAGCATGAATGTGTCATCGGGTCTGACGTGGTGTATTTAAAGTGGATTTTATAATCAATTAAACAGTTTTTTAAATATCTTGCTGCATTTTGTATAAGTTCATTCTCAAGTTTAAAAAAAAAACAATGTGTAACTAACACTCCATACATTGTTTTTTTAAAATCCTAAATTTAGGTGTTTAGTCAGACATCTGCAATATTCTAATTCTGTTGGAAAATAACAGGTTGAGTAGGAAGTCTGGGGTCAGTAAATCCTGGTGGACTGACAGTCTCAGCTGTACTAACAGATATTACCAAACTAACATGTTTAAACTACGTTAGAAAACATAAAAACGTGCAGACCTGATAAACTTTCATTACCGTTCCCAGTGTGTTAGCTTAGTGTTAGGCACTGCGGCTGGGCATGATTTGATGTAAATAACATGAAAGATGAGAATCTGTTACAAAGCATACTGTAAAGTGCACTGCAGTGTCCAGACTGAACAGCCAGTGATCTTTACAGCAGAATGGATGATGCGATGTACATTTCTTGCTGTCGGTTGCCGTGGATTCTGTGTCCCCCACAGTCAGGCAGTATGTGAGGTCTTTCCTTGTCTTTCCTCATGTTGTGCATGAGGAAAGACAAGGACCGGCCAGTGCTACCAGCCTGACCCGTCTCCCCAATGTGATCTTTGTGTATTTTATGTATGGTCGGCAAGGTATCGTCTATTTTAATTGCCCCGTGAGGATAAATAACATCTTTTTGACTTTGACTAATCAGGAGACGTCCGTCTGGGGTCATCATTCTGCATCCTCCTAAAATCCACAATGAGTTCTTGGTTCTTGTGGTGTTCAGTTGCAGGTCAATATCTGGATGTCTCTTAGCCCTGTGAAGCGAGACCTACAACGTTTGTGTCATCAGCAAATGAATTGAAGTGTTGCTCTGGCAGGCTCTAACACAGTCATGGGTATGTAAAGAGTAAAGCAGTGGTCTCAGTAAACAGCTTTGAGGGAAACCGGCTGTATAAAAGGATCGGACATCTCCCGTTCCTGCAATATTGTTTTGAATGAGGTTATGGGAAATGACGTAGGCATGAGTTTGCGCTGCTACTCCAGAGGGAGAGAGTACTTCCAGGTCAAGTCAAAGTCAACTTTATTGTCAATTCTGCCACATGTACAGGACATACAGAGAATAGAAACTTCGTTACTCTCAATCCCTAGATAAAATAGAAAATGAACATTTAAATATAAGAGTGATTAAAAATGCAAGTAAAATATTTTAAAGTAAAAATTGAATAATATAATACAATTTTACATATAACAAGAAAGCTATACAATATACAATATAAGGGTAAA